ACGAATGTACGCGGCGCTGAAAAACGAGAGCTTCAGTGTGAAAAAGAACTGCCCTGAATCCGTGAAACGCTTGCGAAGTTTAAAACGAACGCGCGCGGCGCTAAGGCGAACGCCTCATTTTGAAAACCAGTCGCCCTCAATCCGTGAAGGTCTTGCAATTATTGCATAACGAATGTGCCCGTCGCTACAGCGAAAGCCACATTTTGAAAACCAGTCGCTATCAATCCGTGGAAGTCTTGCAAACGCTAGAAACGAGCGCGCGCGGCGCAAAGGCGAAAGCCACATTTTGAAAACGGCTCGCCCCCCATCTGCGAAACAGCTGCCAATGATTCAGTCTCAGGGTCATAATGATGAGAAATCTCAGGCGGAAGGCCCGGACAGCCCTAAAAACTGGTCTCGGGGTGCGATAGGGAGAAAGTATGTATAAGAAAAGGAGGGGAGGAGTATGGAGCATGTTGCCGCCCACACATGGCTCATTAATCGCAGACCAATCAAGGCACAGAGGGGTGAACACGTCGCCGGCGACTCGCAGCCTCACCGTGACGGCTGGTGCGTAGGGTGAACTTCAAACGGCCTCTACCCTGCCGAATGACCTAGCACGCGCAACTGGGTTTGTAGCCCAGGGGGAGTGGACACAAGGTCCCATGGAATCTACAGGCCACATGGCCCCACCTCCCCACCAAATGCGCGATCCCCGTGCCTGGGACCCATATCCAGTGCAACGGGCGCAATGGGCGCTGCTGACGCCACCATCGGCAAAAAAAGCGAGGACGGCAAGCCGCTTGGCTCACAAAGAAAACGGGCGGTTGCACCCACCCACCAGCGGGCAAGGAGGGATGAGGAGGAGGAGGAGGAGAGGAGAGGAGGAGAGGAGGAGGAGGAGGAGGAGGAGGCGGCGAAGGCGGCGGCGGAGGCGGCGGACCCCCCCCGGAGGAGCCGCGCGAGGCGCCTGGCGCTCCCGCTGCTGCAGCTCGGCCTCCCCAGCGCTGAGCGCCTCCGCCTTCCGCCGCGCCGCCGCCTCCTGGCGGGCGCCCGCGGGCTGCCGCGGGCACGCAGCCAGGGCCACAGCTCCCGGGCACGAAGCTCGAGGGTTTTCAGAAGAGCCAAAAAAGGGCGAAGAAGTCTATACAGATCCACTGTTCCCTGGGCAAGCCCATCCTGAACCAAGCAGCGGTGTATACGCCACGCCCTCCTGGCTGGGCCACGAGGGCGTACACACAGCTCCTGGGTTCAGGATGGGCCTGCCCGGGAAGCAGTGAATATGGGTAGATTCCGTCGCCCGAAAAAAAACTCACTTGAACTCCGTTCCCACACAACGCCCGCCCGAGCTGGTGGCACCCGTTCTGGGCACTCTCTCGGGGCGCACCTGTAACGGGGTGCCGTCAGCTCGGGGGGGGGGGGAGGGCGGGGGGGGCGACCGGCCCCCCTCGCTGGTGGAGGTGGCTCTTTCTTCTCTGGTGAGTTGTCGGGCGTTCTCGTCGGATCCCAAGAGGCTTCCTCCAGCCTCGGGGTACTTTCCAGCAACTGCGCCTCGCCGAGAGCGTTCAGGGGGTGCCCAGATCCTCCCGAACGGTCGCCCGAGGCCCAAGGACTGGCTCGAGAAGAGGACATCGAACGCCTTCGGCCCTGGGGGTGGGACCTGGGGCCTGAAAGAAAACGCATCGATTCTTGAAGTTCCCCTTCGCTTCTGGACCCCCTTGGGGGCCCTCCGCGGTCCTGAATGACAGCCAGAGGACGACCCCCGACGGATAAGCTGATCCTGCGGCCATGGCCCTGGGGGAAGTTCCGTGGTCTAGGACCCGCTTCCCTCAGCGCCCCTTCTCGGGAGGGGGAACGACACGGGGGGGCCGTGTCAGAGAGGCAAACGCCGAGCTGGAATCGGCGATACATTGCAGACAGATCGGTCTTAGGCCCCCGACAGCGAAACCAGGCGTTCCTTCCTGGGCGGGGGGCCCCTGTATCGGCGATCAGTGGGCGATTGGGGGTCGATGCGTTCCCGCCCCCACTCGGCCTACCACCCCCTAGTGTTAGGTCGGGCGCGTCCCCCCACAGGCGGATTTGACACCTTTGATTAAGAAAATCAACGAAAAACTAAACAAATCGTCCCCCGACTTTTTGTTTGTACTATGTTTGAACATCCCTCCTGTAGAAAGACAGGCCCGACCTAACCTCAACGTTGCCCCTGATCTCCCCCGCGGCGACCCCTGCAGCTCCGGAGTGCCGAGCACCCGCCGCCGAGCGGCGAGGCGAGCGACCGCCGACCGACCCCCATGGACAAGCGGCGGCGACGGGCGGGGGCTGATAATGATGAGGAGGCGGAGGCGGAGGAGGAGGAGGAGGAGGAGTGAATAGAGGGAAGAGAACTATGCACATGCACCGATTCTGGCCAGGCCCATCCTGAGCCCAGGATCGGTGCATACGCCCTCCTACCTTGGCCAGGACGGCATATGCACCGATCCTGGGTCAAGGATGGGCCTTGCCAGGATCAGTGCATGTGCAC